CCTTTATATACGGGGGCAGGGGGCACCCCATAGACACAACAATTGATCAAGTTGATCTTTTAGCCGTATGCGGTGCCCCCCTCCATCATAGTCCACCTCGATAATACTGTAGCGGTGCTTAGGCGAAGCCCTGCGTCGGTAGAACATCAACATCGTCACCACACCGTCGTGGTGACGAAACTCTCCCTCAACACTCAACTGGATCGGAGTTCGAGGGACGTCATCGGGCTGAACGTGTGCTGAACTCGGAGGTGCCGTACGTTCGGTACTTGATCGGTCGGGTCGTGAAGACGTACGACTACATCAACCGTGTTGTGCTAACGCTTCCGCTTTTGGTCTACGAGGGTACGTGGACAACACTCTCCCCTCTCGTTGCTATGCATCACCATGATCTTGCGTGTGCGTAGGAAATTTTTTGAAATTACTATGTTCACCAACAAGAATCATTTCATTTTAACCTATATTATTTCCGAAGTAGGAAGAAATATCTGGCCAACTCAAAAAAATATGGCAACTACACTACAACGGACAACATGGTGCAGGCAGCCAAACAAGTCACGGTTGCATATGGCTAGCCAAAAAACACCTCATGCAGGAAACCAAACATCACGCCTAGCCAGGTAAGCCAATGCAGGGAACCAAACAAGCACGATTTTTCTCGTCTTGGCATGTAACCAGTTGGTCTAGGTAAGCCGTGTCTGGGCAACAAACTGATATAGGTAGCCAAAATGAACACAAATTGGCTCTGTGAGTTCTCGTTCTGGAGGCCTCACGTAAGAAACCCGTTGATACATTAATACAATTTACCCATCCTTTCCCCATGCCTCACATCCCCAGAGGCTAAATATGGCACCCCCACCCCCCCTCATTTGCAGAGAAACCATAGCTCATACCTAAGGCCCGAGATCCCCTAATTGACACTCTTATTTAGAAGAATACTAAGGTGATGGGAGGGGGAGGCGGTGGAGGTTGACTTAGGAAGGGGCGAGGTAAAATAGCTAGGAGCATCACTTGGAGTCAAGTGTGTGCTTCAATTCATCTAGAGCTGGTATGCAAGACAAGCATATGTAAGCTAGAATGGAAAGCTTAGGAGTGTGTGAGGGTATTATGATAGGTGGGAGGAGGGGATCGTTTGGGTGGTTGGATGTAGGTGTTGTTGCAATGCATTTCACAGTGATATGCATATATGCTTAGTTCGCACACAGACACATGGCATAACCCCATCTAGCGCGCTCCCACCTTTCATACTAAGCCAACATCAATCAAACCTGTTGCATGCCCCTGAGTCAGCCTGAGCGCGAACCCTGGGGAAGAATTGCGGCGGAGGATAGGAGTCTCAACGTCGTGTTGCCGCATGCGAGAGGCGTAAAGTCCGTGGCACACCACAACGGCAGGTTCGTCTGGATCAGGTGGTGGCAGTATTCCTCAAGACTAGGCGCGTCTGGGCTCGCGATGAACCCTGTCACATATGGTCGTTTGGTGGACCTCTTGGGCAAAGCTACTACGCTAGCAATACACCTTTGCTACTCAGTTGTTGCTGTATCGATGCAGATGCACATATAGGGTTATGACGATCACTAGACATGCAGCCCACTTGTTCTTGCTGCATTTTGCCTGATGTAGAACCTTGTTGTCCTGATGTGAGAGGTCATGGCGTATTGCCGTACCAAACTTCACATGATGCCGGAGGGCACTGCAGTGACACTTGCTTGATTCCAACACGAAAGATTGTCAATGGGGCCTTGCCCTGAAAGAATCAGGAAGCAAGCTCATAGGAAAAAGAACGAATAAAAACGTGCCAAAGAAAAAGAAAAACTAGAGTGATATTTTCATGGTTGCAGGTTGATGCACAAACAAAACAGGAAAAAAGAGTTACTAGCCACGAGCTGTGAGGTGACCCAGCTGGTTAACACGGTTAGGAGTACAACGTGAGGTGCAATGTTGACTCGCATGTACTCATATTTTTTGGGGTATGAAGAACGCAAAAGAAAAACGAAAATAGCCCCAAAAAAAAAAGAGTAACATCCGCACCTCCAAGGAAGAGACCTAGGGTCACAGTCTGCCAGCACGGGCCCAGTCAGAAGTGCGTAGGGACTGCTTTTGACTCGGCAGAGCTGATGAATCAACTTTACGTCCTCAGAGATGAAAAGCTCATCGCTAGGCTAATTAAGCCACATAAGATGTTGCTAGCCGAGCGATGTGGTACTAAACATTCCAGGTGCTGCGTTTGTTTGTTGGCAGACTAGGCCGTTCGTGTTCGTCCGGTGGCCCACAACCTTAGCCAACATGTCCCTTCCGTCCGTGCGGTGCGCTCGTCTCCATCGTTCTCGTCCGTCCGGCGGCTGCAACCTGCTCTAGGCTCTAGCTGGCGGTGGCGGCATCGGCCGAAGGAATCCATTATCAGGTGAGCATCCGCTTCCCCGTAGCAATTCCATGGCTGCATCGATGCTTATTTTTGCTTTTTGTTTCTTCATATGCATCCCCCTTGTCCTCTCCTTGCTGTACGAAGGAACCCTAGCAGCCCGTCAGATGATCTGGGGTGGATTCAGCAACACACGCCATGGACCTTGGTGAGTCTCTCAATCTCACAGTATGCCGTGCACTTCAATCTCACAGTATGCCATGGACCTTGGTGAGCCCACGGTACTCTGCTCCGACATCGATGAACGACACATGCATGACGGTTGCTGCCTTAGTACGTTCAAACTAGTTTTGGTCTTAACTGTGGCCTGAAGTACAAAGCAAGTTAAGATTGCGCCTACAGCCTACAAACTGTGGTTGTGGAAGAGGCTTCGTGAAGATGTCAGCAAGTTGATCCTTTGACAGAATGAACTTGATACAAAGTAGCTTCTGTGCAACACGTTCCCGAATAAAATGATAGTCAACCTCAATGTGCTTCGTCCTAGCGTGAAACACTGGATTAGATGAAAGATATGTAGCATCAATGTTATCACATCACAGAACTGGAGGATGTGCTGAAACAACTCTCAATTCTCTCAACAGAGACTGTACCCATATGATCTCAGCAGTGGCATCAGCAACTGCTTTGTACTCAGCTTCAGTACTACTGCGAGACACTGTAGACTGTTTGCGGGCATTCCAGGCGATCAGGTTAGAACTCAGAAATACCGCATATCCCCCCGTGGATCGCGTGTCATCAGGACTGCCAGCCCAATCTGCATCGGAGAAGGCTGAGAGCTCACACGAGGGTGCAGGCTGAAGAAGCAAACCATAGGAGACAGTAAGACAGATGTAACGCAGAATACGCTTCACAGCTGACCAATGAGATGTCCTGGGTGCATGAAGAAACTGACAGACACGGTTGACTGCATAGGAGATATCAGGCTTGGTAATAGTAAGGTATTGCAGACCACCAACGAGACTGCGATACTTAGTAGCATCCTCAGGTGAAAGAGCATCTCCATCAAGGGCAGATAACCGATCGGTGGAAGACATCGGAGTAATAGCATGTTTGCACTTCAGCATACCAGCAAGACGCAGCAGGTCCAGGGAGTACTTCTTCTGTGTAAGAGTCAAACCAGCAGAAGAACGTGAAACCTCCAGACCAAGGAAAAAATGCAAGGCACCCAAATCCTTGACGGCAAAGGCACCACTGAGTGCAACCACAAGACGATCAACAGCGGCATGAGATGAACTGATGAGAATGATATCATCCACATAAACCAGAAGATACATCGTAACCTCAGGATGCTGAAGAAGGAACAACGATGTGTCTGCAGTGGAGGGAGTAAACCCAAGTGCCCGAAAAACGGAGCCAAGACGAGCATGCCATGCACGAGGAGCCTGTTTCAGTCCATATAGCGCCTTAGTCAGACGACAGAGATGACGAGGTCGTGCAAGATCAACAAATCCAGGTGGCTGCCGCATATAAACCTCCTCCTCCAGAATTCCATGGAGAAAAGCGTTCTGCACATCAAGCTGACGAAGAGACCATCCACGAGTGACAGCAAGAGACAACAGCAAGCGAATGGTAGTAGGCTTGATGACTGGACTGAACGTGTCTTCATAATCAAGACCATACCTCTGTTTGAAGCCCTTGGCAACAAGTCGTGCCTTGTAGCGTTCGATGGACCCATCAGCATGTCTCTTGACTTTGAAAACCCACTTGAAATCAATAACATTGACACCAGATACTGGAGGAACAAGCTGCCAAGTGTCATTTTTCTGAAGAGCCTGAATCTCCTGTTGCATAGCAGCGTGCCAGTGAGGAATACTCAGTGCAGCCTGGAAGTGTCGAGGCTCAGCAGTGCGATCAGCAGCAATGTGAGCCATGCACGCGGCTAGCCATGCCACGGTTCCGTCCTTGCGTTCCTTCGGACAGAAAATGCCCGACTGACTCCGTGTACGAGGACGAAGAGGAACCACAGGCCGTGCCGGCGAGACCGACTCAACCGGTGAAGAAGACGAAGCTGCAGCATCAGAAAAGCTCGCACTAGGGCTCCCTGACGACGAAGAGCCAGGCGAGGCCAGTCCACTAGCAGCCGAGGCGGGACTAACCGGGTCCAGCTCCAGGCCGGTCGAAGCAGCCGCCGACCGAGGCGAAGATGTCTCCAGGTCGGGCGGGACGCCAGCCAAAGGGCTGGGCGAGGCCAGTGGCATGAAACGAACTTGGGTGGAGTGGTTACCTGGGCCTTTATTTTCTTTGTTTCGCGGATCCAGATAGCTGGGCTTTTATAATGAGATTGGGCTGGGCTTTGATTACATATACATATATAATAATAGGCACGCACGCCTAATCCTCCTCTGCAGTCTCCTCTCCACCCGAGAGCGCAAGGGGCGGCGTCGTCGGAGACCTCACCCCCGGCCGCCGGCAGCCACCACCGACCATTCGAGGTGAGGCCACCCCTTCTCCTTCGTCTCCTATCAATTTCTGTTATTTCACTTCTTTTCACCTGATGAAAACCCTAGTTTGATTTGATTTCCCCGCCTAAATACTAAACTAACGATTCCTTGCTGCGACATACAAGAGAGGGAGAGAGATGATGGAAGAACCGGCTGACATTCCCAAGAGGCAAGATCTATTTTCTCTGTTCCTTCATTTTGCGGATTTTGTGCGGTTCCTGGTGATGTTTGTGAGCTGGATGTGTTTGAAGAAATTACTAAGCCAGTGTCTTTTTGTTTCTGGCTCTGCTGCCTTTTCATTTTCAGGGTCGATCCCAATCCCATTCCCATTTCGGACACTGCAGCAGCCATCGACGGCTCCAGGTCAGGCCATCGCTTCTCCATCCTGCCCTTCTCCACCTCCTAGCAGTTTCTTTCCTTCTCTTGCGAAAAATCCTAGCTTGATTTTTCTCCTAACTGAATAGTACGGTGAGAGAAGAGAGGGGCGCTGAGACAGGGAGAGGGGATAGAAGATACACCATGGACCTTGCTCAGAGTCCCCAACGGTAAGAAATAGATCACCTGTCCATTGGCTACTGCTCATTGTTTTGTTGGATATCCTGAAACACACATTGACTGAAGAAAATCAGTTCACTGTTTACATTTGCTGTGTTTGCATCCCCATTATATTGACTGATAAAATCAGCCCTCTAATTACTGCATTCTGTTTTATTGCTGCTGCGGTTTCAGGGGCGATCCCACTCCAAGCATGGCATGTGTGGACGCCAAGAAGCGGCCGTGTTCTGTGACGCCGGCCAACCTCATATCCAAGGACGACGACAATACTAGTTCTTCGCTAGCACCCCTCGACGACGAGGATCTCCTCCAAGAGATCCTTCTCCGCCTTCCTCCAAGGCCATCTGCACTCCCCCGCGCCTCCCTTGTCTGCAAGCGTTGGCGCAGCATCCTCTCCAACACTCAGTTCCTCAGCCGCTACCGCAAACACCACAGGAAACCTCCTTTGTTGGGCTTCTTTGAAGGAGCTACTAGTACACACCATGACTTTGTTCCTGTTCTGGATATGAAGCCTGACTGCATCCCAACCGCGCGCTTCTCCGTGCCCAAGAGCAGCAAATCATATCACCACTGGGACTTCCTCGGCTGCCGCCACGGGCTCGCTATCCTACTCATCAATTGGCGACGGGAGGTCGTTGTGTGGGATCCCCTCACCGGACAGCAGCACCGCATGTCTTTTCCTCCAGGACTTCATGAAACCGAAGGGGAGAAATTCTGGGTTTGGCACGCCGCCGTGCTGTGTGCTGATGCGGAGGATGGACATGTGCATGGTGATTGCTTCTCTAGCCCGTTTAAATTGGTTTTGGTGTGCAGCGGACGCACGCAGGCTTCCGCTTGCCTCTATGAATCGTTGTCTGGTGTATGGGGAAATATTGTCTTGACGATGACCACAGAAGCGATTCTTCAATTCAGGCCAAGCATCCTCATCGGAAATGCACTTTTCTGGTTGTTAAGTGGAGGTGGGGTCCTTGCATTTGATATTAACAGGGAGAGCCTTGGTGAGATTGAGAAACCGGTGGACGCTCATCATACCGACTGTTTTTCCATTCAGCTCTTACGGACAGATGATAGTGGCCTTGGCTTTGCAGTTCTTTCAAAACTGAGTATCCATATATGGGAGAAGAAATTGAACTCTGATGCTATCCAATGGGTGCCGCTGCAGAAAATCATTCACCTGGAGGGGCTCTTTCCACGGGGAATGCGTAGCGATCTCAAAGAGGTGGAGATGGTGGGTTATGAAGAGGACTCAAATATGATTGTTCTGTCTACATATATTGGCGATTTCATGCTCCAACTTGAGTCGATGCGATTCGAAAGATTTTCTAAAAGAAATTGCACGTGGAACAGGATACATCATCCCTACAGAAATTTCTATACTGCAGGTAATACCTCGTGTATAACAAGATTCATTCCACCTACTATTGGTTTGTGTTTGCTGTAATATTATTCATGTGATTAAGGGTTTAATAGATCTATTAAAATCATTTCAGTTTATTTCTTTATCAGTTTGGTGATTTTTTGCCATTGTAATTCTTTATATAGTTTCTGGTCTAAATTAAATCTGGCCCGGAAATATAACTATAGCTATTGTTGCAAGGCCATTTCTAGAGAATGTTTCTGTGCGTGTTGATCCTTTCAGTATTTTGCTCTCTTATAATTGGAAAGTGGCAACAAGTGCACTAAAAGAGCATAGAGAAACCATCTGATATGTGATATAGTTAATTGATTCCGACATTTTGAAACTTAAAGCTTGTTCTGTTTTTCCATTTAGTGCATCTCCTTGCGAGATAATGTTTATCCTGATTGATCTTTCTACTAATCATCAATTCATAACAGCATTCATTTTTCTTATCGAAAAATTGTACTAATTCTTTATATTTGAATAATACCAAGTAATGACCATTTTTTCACAGATGTTTATCCGTATTTGAATTAATTGTGGAAATTAAATCCAGAGAATCAAACCAATGGAAATTAAATTCCAAAGAAAATCTAGAAAAAGCAGGGAGTGAAATCTTGGCTGTGACAATAACTGGTGGTACATATCCTCTTCCGATTAATTCTGGATGAATGCATTTTTCTGAACTTCCAAATAGTCTTGTCATGTCTTGGTAAAGGATTATTATCATTCTATCTTGCACCTGACATGGAATGGGTGGAAATGTACTGGTCTCAAAAGCTTACTCTGCCTTCTTATTGATCCAACTTCTCCTTATTTTTATTGGTTGGGCTTGTTTTGATTGTAGGCAAGGGAGTTGGGTGGAAATGGGTGGATCAGAAACTTTGAACACATGAGATCTGCTAATGTGATATGCTTGTTAAACATGCCAGGTAAATTTATCATTTTGCCTTTGTTGCTCAATTTATTAGATGATTCATGATTTTTTTTAGGTTTCTAGTGCATGAATTTGATTAGTTTCTAAACTATCTTATTACAGCCTCTCATATGCACATGATTCACATAGTAAATCTGAATGAATTGACAATCTATATAGTTTAGTTTTGGCCTCTGATTGAGGCATTGAATCAATGATCTTGTACTAGTTTGTACTGCGTCTTAAGAATGGTTTAAGCGTCTCAATCACCGTAACATGGTGACCCGCATGTATTTGTATTGATAGTGGCTTGGAGTACAAGGGATCCGGTGGTTACAATCTAACCATACGGAAGAGATATACAAGGGGAGGAGATAGAGATAGAATACAGAGATAAGTTATCTAACTAACTACCTCCCTTGATGCGCAACAATATTGGTTAACACCCTCCCTTAATCTGAACGTCTCAAGTTCAGATTACGCTTGAACTCCTCAAACTGTTTTGTAGCCAAGGCCTTTGTAAAGCCATCTGCAATTTGATCTCTGGAAGGAACAAACCGAATTTCCAGTTCCTTGCTAGCAACCCTTTCTCTGACAAAGTGATAATCAATTTCAATGTGCTTGGTTCTTGCATGAAAAACAGGGTTAGCAGAAAGATATGTTGCTCCAATATTGTCACACCAAAGACATGGAGTTTGTGTATGACATATCCCAAGCTCCTTGAGCATAGCCTTAACCCATATAATTTCTGTTGTAGCATTTGCCAATGCCTTATATTCTGCCTTAGTGTTGGAACGTGACACAGTTGCCTGTTTCTTTGCACACCAAGAAATCAAGTTAGGACCAAAGAAAATAGTAAAGCCTCATGTGGACCTCCTGTCATCCAAGCAACCTGCCCGGTCACAGTCAGAGAATGCACTGACAAGAGTAGATGATGACTTGGTAAATGTTAGTCCAACATTCAAAGTATGTTTCACATATCTCAGTATACGTTTGGCAGCAGTCCAGTGAGCTGAGGTAGGTGCATGGAGAAATTGACATACTTTATTAACTGCAAATGAAATATCAGGCTTGGTGAGTGTGAGATACTGAAGTGCACCCACCAAACTCCTATACTTAGTGCCATCCTCCTGACTCAAGGGCACACCTTCTGTAAGAGAAAGTTTTTCAGAACTGGACAAAGGTGTCAGTGATGGTTTACAACTCTGCATCCCTGCCTTGCTCAAAAGATCAGTGGTATATTTTTCCTAAGAAAGATGGAGACCACTCTCTTTGTTTGGCCTGACCTCTATTCCAAGAAAATAATGCAAATCACCAAGATCTTTAAGAGCAAAATCAGAATTTAAATCCTTTAAAAGAGCCATGACTGCGGCATGAGAGGAACTTGTGACAATGATGTCATCAACATAGACAAGAACAAAGATAACTGTGGCATGCTGATTGTAAATGAACAAGGAAGTGTCAGACTTGGATGGAACAAACCCAAGAGCCTGCAACTTAAGACTCAAGCGAGAATACCATGCTCGTGGAGCCTGTTTGAGTCCATACAGAGATTTATCCAGTCGACAAATATGAGATGGCTTGTGAGGATCGACAAACCCAGGAGGTTGTTTCATATAGACTTCCTCTTCCAGAACGCCATGAAGAAACGCATTCTTTACGTCTAGCTGATGAAGAGTCCAGCCTCTGGATACAGCAATGGAGATAACAAGGCGAATGGTAGCAGCTTTAACAACCGGACTAAAAGTGTCCTCATAATCAAGCCCATACCTCTGTTTGAACCCTTTTGCAACCAAGCGTGTTTTATAGTGGTCAATAGTGCCATCTGACTTTTTCTTGATGCGAAACACCCATTTACAGTCAATCACATTAAGACCTGGACAAGAAGGAACAAGGTGCCAGGTGCGGTTTGTCTGGAGAGCAAAAAAATTCATCATCCATGGCTTGTTTCCACTGGGGATCTGCAAGAGCCTCATGAACAGTGCGGGGTTCACCTGTAGGAGCAGTAGCAACCAGCCCATATTTTGTTTTATAATTAACAGGTTGTAGTGTACCAGTTTGAAGACGTGTACGCGGAAGAATGGAGGGAGCTGGCACAGAAGATCCCGTAGGTGCAGCCTCCAGCGAAGCAGCAGATCCCAGCGATCCCGAGGGGGAGACAACGACGTCAAGAGGATCGTCTGCGGCACGCGACTCAGCAGGAGGAGAAGAGCCAGGCGCAGCATGCACAGGATCGGGACGAGGCGGGTCGTGTCACGTGTAGACGCGGGGGAAAGGCGTGAAGCGGGCGGGAGTCTGGTCCCCCGGCATTGGTTGGCGGGTCGTGCGGGGTGGGGGGACCGACCCCACAGCCTGGCTGCACGCGGCATGAGTGGGTTGGTGCAGGGGGAATCAGCCTGGGAGGCGCGGGCCTCCTGACGAGGCGGTGATCCCGGCGTAGATACGCCCGGACCTGACGCGGTCTGGCGCGCCGATCCCGAGGCGGATCGCCCCTGGTCGCCTGTGTCTGCGACAGAATCCTCCTGGACAGGGTTTTCTTCAAAAAGAACATGATTTCCTGCACCGTTTGCACTGCAATTTGTTCCTGTAACACCAGACTCAGGTAAAGGATTAGGAGAGTTAGTCAAAACTGGATCATCACAGTTATCATTACCCATACGATCAACTCCAGAAAGATGCGAAGGAGACAAAAGGATTTCTTTGCGAAGGAGAGCACCGGCATTAGGATGGAGTGAGGCAAAAGGAAATTGTGTTTCATCAAATACCACATCACGAGAAATATAGACGCGACCAGTTGCAACCTCAAGACATTTAACACCCTTATGTTGAGGACTGTATCCAAGAAAAACACATTGCTTGGAACGGAACATAAGTTTATGAGTGTTATAAGGGCGAAGATTGGGCCAACATGCGCAGCCAAAGACTCGAAGGGTGTTGTAGTCCGGTGTGATATGCAAAAGACGTTCAGTGGGGGTCTCGTTAGAGATGACACGACTAGGCCACATGTTGATGAGATGCACAGCGGTAAGAAATGCTTCATCCCAAAATTTTAGTGGCATGGAGGCGGAAGCAAGGAGATCTAGTCCTACTTCAACGATGTGGCGGTGTTTGCGTTCGGCTGACCCGTTTTGCTTGTGCGCATGAGGGCATGAAACATGATGAGAAATGCCAATTTTTTGAAAAAAAGAATTGAGCTTCTCGTATTCCCCACCCCAATCAGATTGCATAGCAATAATTTTACTATCAAACTTGCGTTCTACAAGAGCTTGAAGGTTGTGAAACACTTGAAAAACATCAGAACGCTTTTTGAGCAAATAGATCCATGTGTACTTACTAAAATCATCAATAAAGCTTACATAGTAAGAATGTCGACCAACAGAAGTAGGGGCTGGACCCCATACATCAGAAAAGATAAGCTGCAAGGGCTTGGTTGACACACTAGTGGATACAGGATATGGTAGTTGATGACTTTTTGCTCGCTGGCATGAATCACAAACAGGCTCTAAATTTCTCTCACCAACAACTGGGAGTTTATTTCTACTAAGGATTTGATGAACAGTAGCAAATGATGGATGACCTAAGCGACGGTGCCATCTTTCAGCAGAAAGCTTGATGGCACCATAAACTCTTTTATTGTATGAGCAATACTTAGGAAGTAATGCATAGAGTCCTTCCACACAGACACCCCTATGGAGAATTTCCTTCGTGACCTGATCCTTGATCAAAAAGAAGAAAGGGTGAAATTCTAGAAAGACATTGTTATCAAGGGCAATGCGATGAACAGATAAGAGAGTTTTGGAAGCATTAGGCACATGCAAGATATCTTTTATTTCAAGGTTTTTGTATGGAGTTTTGATATGTGATTGACCAATATGACTTATCTCCATACCTGCACCGTTTGCCGCAGTGTAGACTTGATCATTGCCACGATACTTCTCATGCATTGTTAGCTTCTCCAATTCACCCGTGATATGATTTGTTGCACTGGTATCCATATACCAGTTGGTATCGACACCGTATGACGTATCAGCTGCAGCAGCAATTTTTTCTTTTGGGACGTATCATCGGCATAACGCCAATCACAGTCCTTAGCAATATGATTAGTTTTTTTGCAGATTTGACATTTACCCTCGTAGCCTTCGTAGCCTTGGAAGTTTCGGCCCCTGTTGTCGTTGGAGGGGGGGTGCCGGCCGTTGTTGTTGCTGGAATTCCCCTGGTGATAGTAGCCTCCGCCACCACCACCATGATAGGATCCGCCACCGCCGCTGTGGTTATTCTGGTGGTAGCCTCCAGCGCCACCGTTCGGGTAGCCGTTGTTGCCGCCGCCACCATAGCCTCCCCCACTGTAGCCGCCAGAGCCGCCAGATCCACCACCGTTAGGGTGGCCACCGTCACCATAGCCAGGGCCACCACGGGGGCCGCCACCGTTGCCCTTCTGGTTTGTGTTGCCGCGGTAGCCGCCCTTGTTGCCTCCTTGTCGCCCGCCGCCGCGGGAGATGGAGTTTGCAGACGATTTGAAGCCGCCGGCCCCGTTTCCATGGAACATCTCGACCCTCTGGTCGAAGTTGGCCACAAGAGAGAAGAGGGCGTCGACGGTGGTAGGCTCCGTGTGCACATCCAGCACGGACACAATCGGTTGGTACTCCATGTCGAGTCAAGCGACGATGAAGGAGATGAGTTCTCCCTCCCGATCGGTTTGCCCGCCGCCGCGAGCTCGTCGGAGAGAGACCTCATGTACCCGAAGTAGGCCGAAGCCGACTGGGATCCCTTATGCGCATTCGTGAGAGAGGCTCGGATGTTGTTGACGCGAGATAGGGACACAGCAGCAAACATGTTCGCCAGCGCGGCCCGGATTGCATGTGACGTCTCAAGGGAGGCGACTTGGATGAGAATTTCTTTGGATAGGTTTCGGAGGAGATAAGCAACTATTTGCCGATCTTGAATAAGCCATGGGGAGTAGGCAGGATTTGGG